CCTTCACAACATGTGGCATTCACCAAGAAGCCACTTCTAAGCCTAGCCAACGCTTCTCTGTGTTCGCCTGGCACAATGAGCACCGCCACCAATCTCGACGGAATATTCAAGGAGAAACAGGTCCTTCGATCCAAAGTCCGCAAGTCCCTCAAGTCCATGGACCCTTCCCTCAGATCTCAAGAAGGTACCGTTAACTCGTTAAGGCCATCTTTTTTTTCCCCCTTACCATATCGTAATAAAAATCATTATTTTTTGATAGATTCATGGCTAATTCTCATCTGGGTTTTCATCAGACGATGCAATTCAAAGTCTTGTTTTGGAAGCTCCATGGTTTAAATCTAGCCAGAGGTTGTGTGCTTATATAACTTGTAGTGCTCTACGTGAAGTTGACACTTCAAAATTGTTGTCTCAAATCCTGCAAAATCCAACCAAAGGTAGCTCTGTCTGTTTATTCTTTAATTTCTCAAAATTGTCAATACAATGACCTTGATATAGACGTAAATTCGAGAATGCTATAAGGTAGGGTTAGTAGAATAAACAATTTCTTGCTTGATGCTTTTTGTATGTGAGGAAAATCCCCTCTTGTACACTAAACTTGTGCAGAATATGATTCCTCGTAACTTTTTTATGAGCTATCCTAGATGGGGGTGGACTTCTTATATGTTTTCTTCAACTCTAGATGGGTCAGCTCAGAATGCAAAAAAGCTTTATGTTCCGCGTGTGGAGGACAAGAATAGCCACATGCGAATGCTCAACATTTCAAGTATGGATGATTTAATTGCAAACTCTATGGATATTCTAGAACCGGCTCCTGTAGATCAACATGGAAATGCACGGGAAGATGGTATGTGTGGTACACGATATCTTTTTACAGTCCAAAAAATAAACCCTGACTTCCCTGTGCTACAGATTATTTGTGTTTTTTTTTTCCTTCTCTGATTGAATGTATGAGAAAAGGAATAATTTTAAGCCCTTTCTTCTTTCTGAGGGAAGAAAAGGGTTTGAATTCTTATTGTTTATGATTGTTTGCTTTGGAAATTTGTACCTGCTCCTTAGTTAGCAGAGAAGTAGAACTTCTGAAATTTTGATCGCCAACTATTGCCTCCTCAAATCTAGAGAATTCCCTTCAATTAATTTTTGTGATTTAAAGAAAGTAAATCAGTTTGCTGTTCATTCATTAGCATCAAATATAGATGTCTGGTATGCAGCAGTTAATTTATAAAATTGTCCTCCGTGGTGAGAGACTCTATAAAAACCTTATCCTTTGCAACCAGGCTTTGTCCCTGCCAACTGGCTTCCTTTGTTCTTTAAGGAGTTGGCAAAGTTGGAAACAAGTGAAAGTTGTTTAGTTCAATTTAGAGACAAATAAACAAGAAGCCAAATGGGGGAGGCTTTGGCCCGGGCTTTTCTTGATCTCTGGCTGGTGAATGCATCCAAATACCCTAAATAAGTTGCTTCTAACATGCTTTTTGGGTTTGGAGGATCAAAGGAGGCAAGTTGCTGAGGATGTATGTAATTTTTGCTATGATTCGACACATTTTTCTGTGAGCATTAGACTACAAATTTTCTGAACAATGGAATTTTTCCTTCTATTTTTGGGTTCAAGGAGGGATGACGTTGCTCATGAGGAGGTTCAGAATATCAGCGTCCTGAAAACCTCAGTCATATAATAAGTACTAACATCCATCCATGTCAATGCTGGTGTTAAATTGGAGGCATCGCCTCTAGAAATAAATTGCAGACGCTTATTGATTCATAAAATCATTTTTGCTTTATATCTGATAACAATTCACACTCAAGATCCTTCTTGATGCAGTTATGCAGGCAAACAACCCAGTTGATTTGTTCCTCCTGCCTGGTAACTGTTTTTTTTTTTTTTTTCTCAACCCCTCCACTGCAAATATATTTGAGAAATTTAGCAAAAAAAAAAAAATTCTAGTAGATAATGTATGTCATGTTTATGTTGTCAGGACTTGCATTTGACAAATCTGGAAGACGCTTGGGCCGTGGTGGAGGGTGAGCTTGTGCATCATAGCCTACGCTTCTTTTTGGGTCTATATGAAGTATTGTGACCTGAACTGTTTGGATGTCTTATCTAATTGTTAGAAAAAATAATTTCCCCTTCAATCTGTAACTCAAAGCCTTGGTATGATGCCAGATTTCTTCCAAACCCATGCTTTGGATGTTTGGAGATTTAACCTTGCTTTTCCTTTTGAATAAAATCAGCCTTGATATTAGGATGATAGTCGAGTTACATGTGGTGAGAAGCCACTAAGCATATGGCACAGAAATGGGAGCCTTAACCACCCTCTTGAAAAGCCAATAGCATGGAAGTTGCACGGTCTGAACTGCCATAGTACTGGGATTTGGGATTTGGGTATTATTTTGGACAGTTTTAAGGGAGGGGCATCCAATTTGAACCTCTTCTAGTGGAGAGCTGCAGCTATCAACTAGGCTATGCTTCAGCCACGAGATTTAGGGCATTACTTTTGGTCTCCCACAGTAATTACTGAATCCAATTGCATGGCTATTAGGACAATCACAATTTTAACCTAGCGAGCACATCTGACTGTGCATAAGCTCATGTTTCTGTGTCCTGCACACATTTCCAATGCATACTTTCTATACATTGCTAACATAATATTTGCAACCAAATTATATCTTTCTTTAATTTTTGCATTTTCTTGTTTATATGTGCAATGAAAAATCCTAGTTATTATGACACTTTCCTGAGGAAGTATCAAGAACTTGCAGAGGAGAGGGATTGGAGGCAACCCCTCTTAGGTATTTACTTGTTCACCTCTTTATAGTATGATGTGTTAAACTTGCTTCCTTTATAAATACAATCATTTGACAGATGATTTTGTTTTGTTTGTTTCTAGTTTCTGTTTAAACAACGTGCTGTTGTTTTGTAGTTGCACTTTCATATTCTCTGCAAATCATAGATGATGGAGCTATACCCGTAACTTTGAATGATGTACCGGTGGATGTTCTTGTGTCCCCAGCTGGAGTGATTCCCATTAGCCAAGCTGCCTTAAACAGGTTTTGCTGCCTATATTCTTCTATTAACGAGTTGGATTAAACTTTCTAGTATCATGATTAGTGTACATTTCCAGAATGCAGATTTGACATTGGACTTTGAAACACCACATCAATCTTCTTCAAAGCCTTTATGAAATTAATTTGGTTGGCCTGTAACATGACGAGGATTTTATATTCTTAAGGCTTGCAATGCTAGACTTCTGCAATTGGAATAGGATTAAACTTTCAGATATGCCAACAATGAGAGGCCATGATTGGTTGTCCAAGGAACATGACATTTGGTCCTTATAAATAGTGCTTGATGTGAAATGGTTTGGCATGATCTGTATTTGCCATGGGCAACTAACAAAGTTGAGATACTGGAAATAAGTATTGGAATAATTAACGAACCTTCTTGATACTTTGGCTTTTCATTGTTTGACGAGCTCTTTGCTGTATAAAATGGAAGTAAATTGAATGCTGACAAGTAATGGTGATCATTTTTTCATGTCTGGTCACAATTTCGTTTAATCAAGGAGTAGCTTCTCCTCCTGGAAATCCCAAATTGGATGCTTCCTTTTATTTTGTGATGCATGACCTGATCCCATCGGCTTTAGTGTAGCACAATTGAGTTGGTGGTTGAAAATTTGGCTCATGAAGAGTCTTACTTCTCCCATTACATTTTCTCTTCACGATAGGTCATGGAAGTCACTTTGTTTATGCGTTGTTTCATTGTCAATGACCATTTCAACTCTGGAAAATAACAGAGATCCCATCGGCTTTAGTGTAGCACAAGTGAGTTGGTGGTTGAAAATTTTGGCTCATGAAGAGTCTTCCTTCCTCTATTACATTTTCTCTTCACGATAGGTCATGGAAGTCACTTTGTTTATGCGTTGTTTCATTGTCAATGACCATTTCAACTCTGGAAAATAACAGAGATCGCCATTGTTTAACATATCTGAACTCCAAACTTTCCATTTGTTTAAGTCCATTTCTTTGGCCATCTTGGTGTAGTTTTTTATGCTACTCATGCCACAAGCCCACCAACTTCACCAATTTTTATTGGTCATCAACGTACACATCAGAAACTAAGATTGTTAACGGGGTTCTGAAGAGATAACGAGCAATGTATGATAACCGTGATCTTTGATTATTACTGTATTCGCTAGCACACTCTAAGATCTTCCTTCTCCAAACTACCTCCTGTTTCCGTGACTGAAGTCCCTGCCTGCCATGATTTCTTTGCCACCATTTCGCTTGTTAGGGTTGTTGCTTCTTCCCTTGCATATCGACCCAGCTGACCTAGATCAACTGCAGGATTTCTGTGTTGCAGATTTTTAAAGCCCCCATATCTGTAAATGGCTTCCCTTATAAACCTGGGGCTGAAGTAACTTAAGATGATTTTTTCTTCGATGGGTTAATCAACGAGGGAAACACAAACAAACATATTTGGTTGGTCTGTGACTCCACCAAATGCCCTTGCCTTTCCTGGCCTCAATACTCTTGGAATTTCCACGAACCGAGTTGACTTTGCCCCTGGAGGATTAAACCCGCCTCCCTCACATCCTCGTGCAACCGAGACTAGCAAGGTCTTTCACTCTAAAGTATTGACTGTTGGGCAGATGTTTGTTGTTCCTAGGGGTCTTGTCACTTTCAGCTGAACGTTGGAGAAGAGAACGCCCTCCTTTTCACAGCTTTCTACAGTCACTTGCCTGGGTCAGCCATCGTCCCAACAACTCTATTTGCGTCAAACCTCAATTCCCGGTGATGTGTTAACCAAGGCATTCCAAGTAGGAAATGACGTAATTGATATCATAAAATCTAAGTTTGGTTCTCAACTAGTTCTCACATATCCATTACTGAATTCAGTCAGATGATATGATACAATTAAAGATTATATGTATTTCTACAAATGAGATGATAGTACAACTTCAGTAATGGTCACAGATATCACGAACACTGAATTCAGTCAGATGATATGATACAATTAAAAATTAGATGTATTTCTACAAATGAGATGATAGTACAACTTCAGTCATGGTCACAGATATCACAAACACATTTCTGCATCTAATGTGGAAGCCAATAACAAATTTCTTCTCAATAAACTGAAGAAATCTAGTTCCTTGATTACGCTGCTCTTTTAAAACTTCCACCAAACTGCATATGTAGCTATTTGGATTGGGATCCTTGAACATAGTCTCTTGTTGGTTGTGGGCCAAATATCATTCCAGTAGCATCAAATGGCTGTGCACCAAGCTACAACAAACCATCATTGAACAAATCACATGACAGAAAAAACTAACAGAAGTGTTTACTGACACAGCTCTAATCACTGGATTTTGTAATTTCATCAGAAATTTCATTTGTTTGCTTGTTCAAAGACATGAGCAATTGGAAGAATACAGTATGAGATTGACAAATACAACAAAGGATGAGGTTAAGATCGCTCTCACAACGAGTAACCTCTCTTGGCTGCCTTTTGTGTTCCAAATGCAAACCTCTCAACTTACATTCCAAAACTGGGGCAACAGCAGTTGGGATCCAATATTTCTTTAGTGCAATTTCTCCTATGTACACCATATACAAAACCTTATTACAGATCCTTGTTCTGAGACACCAGAAATACTGAAAACTGAAGATGTTAACTCGTTCAGATTCTGTGCAAGCTATTAAATGCTGGCACAGTGGCAGCATTGCCTAACAATCAGAATTCCGGGCAGGCTTTCAGAACTACTACATAGAGAAACCTTTAACTGAAATTTTACAAATAGATGAAAAATAAAAACAAAGCAGCTTTTGTTTTTAATCTGGAGGCGCGTCCCTCCTCAATAACAGGGATCCGAGATGGAATCAGTTGGTAAGAATTTAAAATTGCTACGGAGTGGGTGCATATCCAATTTTGACAAGCGCTCACCAATTAGATGCAGCAGTATCAATGACGCTTTTATTTTCTAGGTGGTCATAGTTATTACATGGGAATCAACAATGGCAGAGCAATTGTAAGAAAGATGCCAGAAACTACCTCTCATACTATGGTAAATCGATTCTCGATTCTGTGATGATGTAAAAGTCAAGTGCTCAATCATGTTATGTCTACTTACATCTTTTGGATGAAGGCCTTCAATCACGGGGCTCGTGCTCATCCTTGAATTTACTGCTTCTAGCTTCATTGAGAGGAACTATAAAATCAAATTTAAAAAGTATAAATCTAGGTTCAACTTCAACAGAATAGAAAGGAAAAAAATAGTCTTGAACTAGCAATAAGCGCTATAAGAAGGGGATACTACCTCAACCTGACACTGGAGTGACTGGATGTAATTAATTATCTCATCAAGGGCAAGTGCTTTACCAATGACCTTGTTAAAAGAATAATCCATATGTGAACTGTGTTAAAAAATGATTGTGATTCTGATAAAATAAAAAATGAGGAATTTCAGTTGACACCTTCCATCTTCCAAAATGTCTGTTATGGGATGGCTAAATTATGAGGCATGAAGTTTGGAATACAACAGAGACCAGGTAACAGATTCATCCTCAGCCTACCTCGGCCTTTTCTTTAAATTTTCCTAAGAATGTTTTTTGCAGAACTATGGTAAAATGACCAAGATAAGACCAGCAAGATAAATGAGCACCTTATTACACCCAGGGACCAAATCTTGGAGTATCTTCATCCTCTCACTAATCCTCTCTCTCCGAGCCTGCCAAAAGCAAGTCTATAGTAAGCAGCAGGTTTAAAAAATGCCCACCATTTAACTCTTAAGGTTCAAACAGATCAAAAAAAAAAAAAAAAAATCAGCAGTCTGAAAATGATTACAATTTCATATCAACCTGAATCCATTTTACATGAAAGTCCTACTTCATTCTTTTTCAAATTGAGAAACGATTTAAAAATTAGCAAATTAAAGGGGGCTGAAGCAAATTACTCTCTCTGCTAAACTGTGGCTATCGGTCGCTTGGCCCCTTCTTGATCTGACATGAATATAGTCTTGCATAGGCGGCTCAGATGGTTTACTGCTTGGTTCAGCTGGCTTGTTATTAGCAGCAGAATTTGCTTCTATTTCAGCTCTTGAATCAGTGTTTTCATTCCTTGACCCCGAAATTTTCCTCCGTTTACCATTCAAATCATTCTGCCATAAACACAATGAAAAGGTACAGATATACATCATTTCCAGTTCAAGACAATAGTTCATTTCTATCCCCTAACCTAACATCTTCAGTCCAAAAAGCTGAAAATCTCAATCAATAAAGTAACAACCGCTAGCTCCATTCGGAAAAAGGAATTGTAAGGACAGACAAACAAGGGAAAAGACAATTCAAGAACTTGTACAGATCACAGGTTCATGCGCGGAAGAAAAGGAGTTAAATTGCATAAATAAAAACCAACAACCCATTTCAAACGCAAAGCAAGTAAATAGAATAAAAATTAATTCCCAGTTAACAGATCCCATTCTGAAAATCTAACTCTCTTTTTCCTGTTTATACATGGGTATAAAGAGTGACACTCTTCTTTTTTTTAAAAAAAAAAAGTCTCCTTTCTCCTATTTTCCTTCCATTTTCCAGCAAAAGTTTGCATATTCATCAGTTCAGGCTTAAAAAAAAGCAACTTAACAAACAAAACATCTCCCATTTTCTGAGAAACCAAGCAAAAGAAATAAAAAGAAAATACAAAAGAGAAAAGAAAATGAAGCAGAAACGAACCAAATCATGGGCACTAGTGGTGGTAGAAACCATTATGGATGAGTCATCCTCCTCGGAACTCAAATCTCTAGCCTTCCTATTTCCATTTCCATTTCTACCCCTCTGCTCGGTCACAGTGGATTCGTCAACGGACCCATCTCGGTCGGCCAAATTAGCCATCCGGAGGCCCAAAGCAGTTGAAGAAGAAGGTGGAAAAGGCCACATCTCAGTTAATGAGTAGGAAGATGGGTTGGCCGCAGAGAAGGACTTCTCGTTCATCAATGGAGGATCCATACTGGATTGGATTGGAGTCACCAGAAAGGAGACAGCGTCAGCGTGTGCCAGTGGACTCTAAGTTGATGCTTAGTCAAGCTCAGACTGGAGTTTTTTTTTTTTTTTTTTTTTTTGTGTCCCTGTCACAAAGAGGCTTTTTCTCCATTTTATATCTTTTCCTTAGTTTATTTATTTATTTTGTAGAAAATGAGCGTGGAGGACATAAATTAATTCGAATCAATCATTTTTTTTAAAATAGGTTCTTACGTCCATCCCCAAAGAAAATCTCCATACTTGAATGCCTTCTTTATTTTCACTTGTATATTTTTCATGTTTCTAATTGTGATAATCTATTTATTTTCTAAGTTTTAATTTATTGTGATTGAAGGCTTAACCCTTCTACTAGGTAAATGATCCCTTGGTTCTTGTCATTAAAAAAAATAAAAAAGATTAAAATTATTGTTGTTATTTTGCTTTATTTCATATAGTGTTTTCATCCATAGTATGTACAGAAAAATCATGGATGGTCTCTTGATAAAAGTTGCTCTAAAATGTGCTTTCCAAGGAAATTCATAATAAACCCATAATTAATGGCCTTCAAAAACCCCCTTTTATCAACCTTATTCAAGGTTTTTAGGCAATATGTATAGGCTCTTTTTTTTTTCTTTTTCTTTTTTACTTTTAATAGACATAAACAACTTCCTCAAGCTCAACTCTTTCTTAAGAATTTTACTTTAATATTTTATATTAAGCTAATATATATTATTTTAAGTAAAATATAATTCAAAATATCACAAAGAAAAAATTACATTTTACTCCCTTCTCTTTATAAAATAACAAAACTCATGAGCTATAAATTCCCCCATAAATTCTTTAACAACAAGGTTCATAATATCTTCATTCTTAATATTTTTAATATATATATTTTCAGAGTCTATCTTTTTAAAATATCATTAGATTTATAAATGCCCCGTGAATCCTTTAACAACAAGGTTCATAATATCTTTATTCTTAACATTTTTAATATATATATATTTTCAGAGTCTATCTCTCTAAAATATTATTGTATTTTTTCTCTTTACAAAGTTATTAACTTCATCATCGAAAAATCCCATATCTATAAAAAAAAAAAACATTTTATAGGTACCAACTACTGGTCATCTTAGTTTGCCCTGCACCCATGTTACCACTATAGCTATTGGTTATCTTAACTTGCCAGACATTACATATTACAAGTTATCAAACATCTTGACTAAGAATAATGAATTAGATTGCTTGAATTAAAAGATTAGTTAATTATATAATACACAACTTTATTTCTAAGCATTTTAGATTTTAAGATTTATCAATTTGGCATGAAAATAATGAAGGATTCCTTGATGGAAAAGATCAAGACTTTGAAGTTGCATCATATATATATATATATATGAAAAATAATAAGGAGTGACTTTGAAATAAAATATCATGAGTTATTATAAATATCATATAATGAAAATATTTGTATAATGGATCATTAGTATTGAGAATTGTCTATTTGGTTGGTTATAAATATTGTCATAATGAGCATTTATATGCAATGATTAATATTGATGTGTTTGAAAAACATATCACCTCATTTTGCATAATTATGACATGGTTAAATGATCAAATATGTGTTTAAAAACTAGGGATGTTACACCTACACACCCAACTATTTATCTATAAATCAATTTTATCCATCACATAATTTCACACATTTCAACATTTTAATCTATATATCCCAAAACAACTAAAAACTAAATAATCCTTATTATAACATTCAACACTTATCTCAAGCATTCATATAAATTCTTAAACATCTATTAAACTCTTTATTTCAATTTCACTTCATCTAGACTTTTAACATCGAAGATACCAACTTAATATTCACACACACTTCAAACTTTAATTCATCTCTAATTTCATAAATCAATATCCATGTTATGATATTGAATTCTCACTTAGATCTATTTCATTTCCAAGTTTCAAACTAATTCTTATAACATCACCACCCAATAATAATATTCGTGTTTCACATGCTAATTCATTGTAAATATTTGCTTATTTTTTATCACATCTAAAATTTATCTATTTTCTACATTTCCCACATTTCATACATATAATCACATCTACAATGATGATAGTCAAATTTAAGCATTCCTAACATCATTTAAAACATTATACTTACATAATTTCTTTCAATTTAGCCAACTTCAAAATTTCAATATTTCAATATATCTAACATGAAATATTTAAAATCTTAGCAATCTTCCTTCTTAATTATCATTTTTTTCAATTGATAATTTTTCTATTAATAATATTTTTTAGATTTTCATACGAGGAACTTACATTTCTTATATAAGATCAATTGTTTGGAAGTTTTTTAAGTTGTTTAAAAGTTTATTTTAATATAAAAAGTAAAACTATGTTTCATTTATAGTTTCATTATTTTTCAATTAAGTTATGTATAAATAAAAAACATCATTTTTTTCTTTCTAAAAACCAAGTACAATAAAGTATTTCAAATGAATAAGCATCTAGTATATAAGATTTCCCATACATAAATTTTTTAAAACATTTTCTTATATTTTTGTAATGATGTTAATTCTTTTTTATCCAATTTTAGTTGATAAAAATATATAAATAATTAATAAAATTGAATATTATACAATTAACAAAAAGCCTAAAAGAGGTGGTGCTTTTACTGTGCATCACCTCACAAAACACTATTTATTATAATATTGTTTTTTTATCCTTCAATATTTGGTTTATTAGAGATTGAGCTTTATGATTTGTTGTGGTTTGATTTCTATGTGATTATATCAATTTAATTACCTGTGTTATGGGTTTAGCGGGTTATTCTAGTTGACTCATATTTTTTTAATTAATATATTTTTTTTTATCCTTCAATATTAGGTTAATTAGGAATTAGGTTTCATGATTTGTTTCAATTTACTTTCTATTATGTTATCCTAATATTATGACCTGAATCATGAGTTTTGCGAGTTAATATAGGTTGACTTAGGTCTTTTTATTATGTTATTTTTAGATTAAACTTTTTTCCCAATTTTATTATTTAACAATGAGTAGTTTGAGAATTATGCTTTATAATTTGTTTTGATTTTCTTTATATAGGGTTATCCAAATCTCATGATCCTTGTTGTGGATTTGATATGTTTGTCTAGGTTAGTTTGATTTCTATGAGATTATTCTAATATTATGACCCAAATCATAGATTTGGTAGGTTAACTCAGATTGTTTTTTGTGTCTTTTTTATAATTGATTTTTTTTAATTTCATCTTTAAATATTGAGTTGATTAAGAATTAAACTTTTTAATTTATTTTTCATAGGTTCATCATGGTCTCATGACTTAAGTCGTGGATTTGATAGATTAACTCGAGTTGATTTAAGTTGTTTTTTTATCCTTTCTTAATTGATGTTTTTTTCATTTTCATCTCATCCTTCAACATTGGATTGAATGAGAATTAAGATTCATAATTTATTTTAATTTACTTTATATGAGGTTATTCTAATTTTATGATTCAAGTCACAAATTTGGCAGAGTAACCCGGGTTGACCTATGTTATTTTTTTAGTTTCATTTCAATGAAGTTATCCTGGTATTATAACTCGAATTATAGGTTTAATTGGTTAGCTCAGATTGTCTCTAGGCTTTTTTTTTTTTTTTTTTTTTTTTGAATTTTTTCCTTCAACATTGAGTTGATTGAGAATTAGACTTTATAATTTGTTTTGATTTTTTTAATGAAAATATCATATTCTCATCACTTATGACATGGACTAGGCAAGTTAACTCAGGTTTATTCGAGTTATTTTATTTTTATTTTTTTTAATTATTTTTTTTTAAAATTTTATCCTTTAACATTGAGTTGGCTGGGAATTAAGGTTCATAATTTATTTCAATTTACTTTATATGGGATTATCCTAATCTTATTATTCAAGCTGTAGGTTTAGCAAGCTAACTTGAGTTATTCTTTTTTAGTTTGATTTTTATGAGGTTATCGTAGTGTCATGACTTGGATAATGAGTTTGGCGGGTTAACCCAGGTTAACTTATGTCATTTTTTATGTCTTTTTTAATTGAGTTTTTTAATTTCATCTTTTGATATTGGGTTGATTGAGAATTGAGCTTCATAATTTATTTCAATTTACTTTTTTATAGAGTTATCATGGTTTTATGACTTAGGTTATGAATTTGGTAAGTTAACTTCAGTTGACTCAAGTTGTTTTTTATCCTTTTTTAATTGATTTTTTTTGCATTCTCATCCTTTAAAATTGGGTTAATTAGGAGTTGGACTTCATAATTTATTTTGACTTACTTTTTATGAGGTTATCTTGGTCTCATAACTCAGGTTATGAATTTGATAGATTAATCTGGGTTGTTGTTTTGTTTTTTTAGTTTTTTCATTTCATCCTTCAACATTGAGTTAATTAAGAATTATATTTCATGGGTCATTAATTTGGCAAGTTAACCCAAGTTTATTTAGGTTGATCCAATAAGTAGTGTTTTAAAACGCAGTTCAACCGGTGGGTTGACCTGGGACCCGGCCAACCCGAGCCTGGAATCGGTCCGGGTGGTGGCAAAAAGCCACTAGGGAATTGGCCTAAGGAAACCAGGTCGATGACACGACTAAAAGATTGATGTCTTCTCCCAAGTGCAGGAGTGTCGAAGTAATAAATAACCCGGCAAGACCGGGGTCGAACCACAAGGAGGTTAATTGTACAAATTATAAACAACAATAATAGCAATAACAACAATAACTATAATAATAATAATAATAATA